CCCTTCAGACAAGCTATGGGGAACGGAGGTTGCAGCTGGTCTGGTGACACTTGGCAGGAGAGGAAAGCCGGGCTTTCCCCTGCCCCTCCTGCCAAGGAGGGAAGAAATGCTTTAGGTTTGGAAAATCACTTGGAGAAGAAAAAAAAAAAGGAGGGGCAGAAAGAAGAGCTAGAAAATAAACCCCACCAGGCTGATGTGTCTGGCCTCCTCCAGGCAGCTCCCCTCCATGACAAAGTCAGCCTCAGGAGCATTTATATTTGCTGCTATGCAACCACTCCTCAACGTAGTTCTGCACATTAACGTTGCCCTGTGGTCCCCTGTCCCCATTGTCTCCTGACCCCATTGTCTCCTGTCCCCATTATCCCCTGTGCCCATTGTCCCATGTCCCCATTGTCTCCTGTCCCCATTGTCCCCTGGCCCCAGGGCTTACGCTGGCCCCAGGGGAGGGAAGGGGCAGGACGGGCAGGGATGCAGGTTTGAACACTCCCATTTGGCCAGAGCCAGCCCAGCCTGTCGGAACCGACATCAAGATCGTGCTGTGACCAGTGCCAAGCGCGGCGCTCGGGACCGCTGGGCTCGCTCTGCCACGCGTTCAGCCAGTTCGCTCCAATCTGGGCAGGATTGATGGTGAATTACAAAAATAACTCCTCTCCCCTACATCGGGAACAATGGAGATATATATATTTTTTTTTAAATTACCTGCCACGCTCACATTTTTATAAAACCATTTATCAACCCCCCACGCACAAATAAAAGCATTGTTTCTTCTAACTCAATGGCTCAATTCATCTTCCCCTGGTCTCCAGCAGCCCCAGGCTGCAGCCCAGACCCTGGCACCGGTGTCAGCCGAAGGAGCACATCCATCAGCTGCCGATCATGTTTATGGATGCGCCGTGGAAAATCGCTCCCAGGAGGTGACAGCTGAAGAGTGGGAACGAACTGATAGTAGGGACTCGGGGAAACTGAAGTATGGGGAGATGCTGTGAACGTCACGAGGCCACCTGGCAGCTTGGCCACAGACACCGGGGCAGACCTGGCCTTCCCCTGTCTTGGCCCAGGGCTCTGGTGTGATGGAGACAGCAGATCCTACGAGAATCTCTCTGCCAGTAGCCCACAGGGGAGGTGTTTGGTCCAGGATCAGCCAAAGGGTCTAAATCATGCTTCATTCCTGCGCCCCTGCTGACCAGGGGCTTTGGCAGGGGAGAAGGACTCACGTGGCCCATTACCGGGGTCAACTGGCCGTGAAGTGTGAATCTCAGCTCGGCCCTGATCCATCTGCTGCCTGTAGGGACATTCCTCATTCCTGTCTCCCCTCTCCTTGCAAAGTGAGTGTTTGGAGGTTTAGACATGCGCTGGAGACAATCACTCCTCAAGAAATTAAAGAGTCAGTGAGAAAAAGAGAAATATGGACACAAGTTCCATCTTGCTTGTGCCACCATGGCCCTGAACACCCACGGGTGACCTCTCAGCCCCAGGAAGCTGTGAAAGGAGAAACTGGCAATATACCTCCAAGAAGTGAGAAAGCCATTCCGGAACGTTGAAGACCATTCTACTGGAGAATGAATCAGCTTGAGAGAAGAGACGGTATGTAACATCTGGTATTGACCCGGTCACACGCATTTTGGTGGTCTAATGGGGTGTTCAAAGGACTGCCTGCTTCTCCAAATGTCCCTCTTGGCAGCTAAAGCCTCCAGTGGCCTGAGATCCAGGCTCACAACCCATCAGTTTGCACACATCCGTAGGGTAGTGCTGTCAAACAGCACAGCAAACAGAGCTGCCCCAAACCAAGACCAGCCCCAAACGCTCCAGGGCTTTTCAGAGCCCACTGGTACTTACTTTGCTAACTTCTTAAAGCCGATGGCCCTCTTCTTGGTAGGTGTCCCATTGATCCCTTTCCAGACGTGGGTGTTCCAGGGGTCCGGCTAGAAGAGAGAAGAGCAGCAACAGCTGATGGGCAGTGCTCAGGGCCTTGAGAAATGCTGTGTCCACAGCACTGAGTGTTGAATTCCTCTAGTCATGAAGAGGAGGACTAGCTGGCCTCTTCACAGCTCTTGATCTCCTGTATAAGTCCCTGATCTATGAAGACAGGCTGAGAGAGTTGGGGTTGTTCAGCCTGGAGAAGAGAAGGCTCCAGGGAGACCTTCCAGCACCTAAAGGGGCTACAGGAAAGCTGGAGAGGGGCTTTGGACGAGGACATGTAGTGATAGGACAAGGGGCAATGGCTTTAAATTGAAAGAGGGCAGATTTAGATTAGATCTAAGGAAGAAATTCTTCCCTCTGAGGGTGCTGAGGCACTGGACCAGGTTGCCCAGAGAAGTTGTGGCTGCCTCATCCCTGGAAGTGTTCAAGGCCAGGTTGGATGGGGCTCTGAGCAACCTGGTTTAGTGGAAGGTGTCCATGCCCGTGGCAGGGGGGTTGGAACTGGATGATCTTGAAGGTCCCTTCCAACCCAAACCGTTCTATGATTCTGTGATCCATGGAGCCCCATGGGTTTCTTGGGGCACTTGAGCAACGGAGTGTGCACAGAAAAATGGCAAGATAATAAAACCTTGCTGGCTTTTAACAACATCTGGCCGAATGCAACAGCATCTCACCTCTGAGATGAGCATCAACAGGCCACAAGCAAAAAGAAGGCAGGCGATGCCAGAAGGGGAGAAGTGATGGAAACATGTCCTTCTCCCTCCCCAGCCCACAGGTTGTTTTTTTTCCTAAGAGCCCCTTTGGGAAGGAGAGCCAGCTGAAGCAAGGAACAAGCACGCAGAAGCTAATTCCGTGCCCTCGCAGGCAGCTGTCTGTAATCAGGGCCAGGAACCATCAGGGATCCTGGTAGACTGGTTACAGAAATGAACAGACTGCTCCTGGTTTGTGATTGTTCCTTAAGGGCTCTTGACTAAAGGTCACATTGTGTGAAAACCACCGGAGCAGGGATGGTTGGCTAATGAGGACGTGTTTGCTTAGGGGCCTTATTCCCACGGTCTGAAGTGTTAAATACTCCAGCACCAGCGTTCCAGCCCGCTGCTTGGCCTGCTGGGCGAGAACCCCTCCATCAAACTGTTGGATCCCCAAGCTGGCAGGAGGCATCCACTCAAACCTGCAGGCTGGAGAGAGGAGGGACACGAGGTTTACCAGGTCATTTCCTCACCTAGGCCTCAAAGTGCAAAATTAGGCACTTCCAAAGGGAGGAGCTCTGCTTAGTTCTGCTTCCAAGGGTAAAAGTTGGGGCTTCAGGTGTCCCATGTTCCCATGAAGGGGCAAAAAGCCATGAAAGAGGTGAAAAGGTGGAATTTCCAGGGGGTTGTTACCCCACGTTAGGGGGAATCACCAATTAGACTTGTTCATGGGCTTCACCGCCTCGCGGGACAGCTTGTTGAAGGGATTAGATGGTGTCCCTCTCTTTCCTGCATCTTCTCAGCTCCAGCTCTCACTCTGCTCTTGGCCGTACCTTTGGGGACACAGCGGTGGTGGAAGGTAGGGTGCAGACAGTACCTGGTACTCAAAGGAGGGCGTGAGACGATAGTTGAGCATTTCCTGATGAAAAACTGGGGTGATGCTGCCAGACATCGGCGGGACAATCCACACCCAGTCGGCTGGACAGCCTCCACGGCATCGGTACTCGTTCTCCATGTGTTTGATAAAGGACTCGGTGGCTGAGTGGTGATCCACGATGGTCACCTTGTCGCTCTGTCGGAGGGAGAAGAGAGCAGAGCTGACAGCTGTGGGTTAATACACCCCAGAAGCCAAAAGCCAAGATTTTACCTTTGGAGCTGTTTGACCCAAATATGCCTCATTCTCACAGTCTTACAGGACTGTATCTTTGGAGATGACACAGGGTGGCTGCTGACCCTGGTCTTCCCAAGAAGTCTGTGAAGCTGCCCTTGTCCTTCCTGAGTAGATGAGCTATGGGATGGCTGTTGCTCCTGCTATCTGTCATGGGCCAAGCAAAGACTAAGATGGCGTGAACGGGATGGAGCATCCTCTGCTCAACCCCTTGGGGATTTCATGCTTGGACAACTCAAGGAGCAGTTCCTATCCAGTTCAGGGAAGGACTCCCACTCTCTGAAACTGGATTGCCAAGGTCTAGCTTTGCTACTCAACTTTTAAGTGCAGGCAGGGAGAGAACCTGGGCCAATTCTTGCCCCATGGACGTGCTGAAAGGGCTGGATCTTGCCCCCTCGGGGCACTCTCTTTGGACAGGCTGAGCTCAAATGCTGGTGGTTCTGTCTTTGCAACATCCAGGGTTCAGAGGTTATTAAATTTCACTACAGACTCCTGGAACAGCCCAAAATTAGGAAGGCACAGACCAATTTCACCTGAATGTATCAGCTGCTGCCATTGTCTTTGCATGGATGTCTCCATACTTGTCCCATCCTGTGTCCCTCAAGCCTGACCCCCAAAAAAATGGGAGTCCTGCTACTCAGGTACCTGGAAGCTGTACAGCACAGCAATGTTGATCTCCACCAAGGCCTGGTCCTTCCACAGTGAGGACGTTTTCCTCATATCCAGATTCATTTTCTTGGCCACTTGCTGTAACAAAACACGGTAGAAGGTCAACACTTTAATGGCCAAGAACCGAGGACTGAAGATCTCTTACTCGGGGAGAGGAACCCAGAGGAGGGACCCAGGCTGACACAAGGCACCCGCAGGGCAGGGCACTTGCAATGAAGGACTGACATTTTGCCTTCCTCCAAGATGTGGTCCGACCTTTTCCTCTCCGTAACACGAGCAAGGCCAGTCTGGCCTCCCTTCCTCCCCTGGGCACAGGAAGACACCTAAATGCTGCTGAAAAGGGCCATCAAGAGCAGTTGCTCTTTGTAGGAGCAGAAGAAACGGGTGGGTCCATGGGACAGCAGGAGATGGTGGTGATCCATGTACTGGGAGGAGCAGGCCTTATACCCCTTCCCATGCCAGACCCTCTGCTGCTCCCAAACTCTGTTCTTTCTCAGACTGTTTCTTCTACCTGAAGTCCTTCCCCAAATGCTACCACAGATGAGTGTGCACACACACTCTTGCTCTCACCCCTCTGGTTTTCAAGCAACTGGGGAGGGATGCAGCCCCTCCAAGTAACACAACATGCCCCTTGAAAGGGCAAAGGAGCCACCCTTGATGGGTGCAGATCCCCTGCACCAGCACTTCTCCATGGCTTGACTTTGTCTCTGACTCACCCTGTCCCCAGTGCAGGGAGTCCCCGAGCCATGGTAGAGCGCTCCAGAGGAGCCAGCTCGAGGTTCCCCATGGGCAGGCATGTCCTTGAGTAGTCACCAAGTGTCTCAGCCCCACCACGTCTTAGCACTTGACCTCACTCAAGCACATGACCAGGTGCCTGCTGATCCATAAGACGCTTGGAGAAGTCTATGGGAAGCTCAGCAGGCAACATACTTGCTGTGTTAGATACCAGCTAGCCCCATAGGACACAAAAACACTTGCCAGCCCATCACACCCTAGGCCATGTGGCTCCAGGAAAATTGAACTGCCCTATCTAAGGGCGACTTGGATGTCCTGTACTCTCCCACTCAAGGCAACACTCTCCCAGTGTCCTGCCTGCTCCCCAGTAACTTCACACACACCCCAGGAGCACCTGACCTCCTTGAGGAGGGGGAATTACCTCCAGTATGTTGTAGCGAGAGTTGTCACAGTAGTCCCGGACCCCAATCTCCGTGCCCATGTACCAGCCGCTGAAGGGGCAGGCGGAAAACTCCAAGCCACCGATCTCGAGGAGCATGTTGGAAACTGCTGGCAAGCCATACCACTTCAGGCCCAGGTCCTTAAACCATTCAAACCTGCCAAGATACAACAGGGTTAGGCAACCAGCTGGACCTCCCCTGCCCAATGGAGGAGGTTACTTTGCTACCAGCCACCAGGCTGAAGGACACATGAGCAGAACGGTTCCTGGAGGCAATATTTCCCTTAGGGGCTGTTTCCGGGGAGAAAGTGGTATATCAGGAGCATTACAGAGTGGCCTGAGTCCTGGTAGACTTCAAGGAAAGGGAAACCAGCCCTGAGACAAGGACACAACTTGCTTTCCACCTCCAGGCTCTGCCAGCTTTACATCAGAGCAGATGGAAGACCTGGAAGAGGGTCTTGGGTAAAGCACCCAAGCCATGGCAAGAGAAGACCAAGCACAAGAGGTGGAGTTGAGTCCTGCTGATCTCGAGCAGTTTTGGGGCTTACTCTGACTTACTTGGGATGCCGGATGGGCACTTCCAGCACAAGCTCTGGGGGAATTTCGAAGAGCTCTGGATCATTGCCGTTGGCTTGGAGGAGCAGAGGCAAGATATCGAAGCGCCCGTGTGGTGCCTTCCACCCTTGCTGAATGCAGATCTACAGGAAAAATGAAGGTGGGGTTTAGAAGTCCCCCACAGATCACCTGCTCTTCAAACATCATGGGCAGGGAGGTGCACAGCGCTGAGCAGTGTCTCCTAACAGCATCTCAGCCCTTACGGTCGAGTAATGACCTGTGTCCAAGGGAGCTATGACACGGTGTTGCTTGTCGCAGCCAACCCACGGCCAGGTAAGGGGGATTTGGGCTGAAAATGAGCCTGGAACTACACCCCCAAGGAGGATCACGGCTCTGAAGAAGCTGCTTACCCTAATTGTGCCTGTCATGGTGAAGGGGAAGACGGGTGAGGAAAGCAGAGGGGTGTGGGAAGAGCCGAGCAGGGCAGTGCCAACAGGCAACGGCAAAAGGCAAATCCCATTTCTGATTCCCACTGCCCAGGTCAGCAGTGGGCACGCAGGTTCTCCTGCAGCAGCTCCCCCAGCACCACTGAGACCCCTTCTCAGCAAAAGCATGATAAGATAAGAGTCTTTGAGTGCAGCTATGGCACGGGATGACCAGGGAGGTGGTTGAGTCCCCATCCCTGGATGTGTTTAAGAATAGGGTGGATGATCTACTTGAGGATATGGTTTAATGGGGATTAGGGATGGTTGGACTCGATGATCTCTAAGGTCTTTTCCAACCTAGAAATCTATGAATCTATGAACGCCTGCACGGGGGAAACAGCCTTTATTCCTCGGGAAAAATCTGAGGGTGGGACAAATCCAGCTTCACTTTGTTGTGATAAACCCTGCTGGACCCAGCATGCTCCTCACTTCTGGCGTGGTCAGAGCTTCTGCATGCCCCCACCAGCCCCATGCCCACGGTGCCCGGGAAGGATGGCTTCAGCCGGTACCTCCGTCAGCTCCACGTTTGCGGGGTCTCCCAGGATAGAGCCGTCGGGCTGCTTGTAGCCAGCGTAGCGGATGAGCTGGGCGTTCCAGATGCGGAAGTCGTGCTTGCTGTCCGTCCGCTGCGGGAAGATGGTGATAGCAGATCTGGAGGGAAGAGGCAGCGGCGGTGAGTGCCAACGACGTCGCATGGGCGCAGGACAGGAGTCATCAGAGGAATGGCAGAGTGCTGCAGGGGAAAGGTGCTGGCTCTGCCTGCCACCACCCTCTGCACCAACTCTGCTTGCGCCTTGGACAAGCCCCAAGCATCTACTATATTTTCTTAACCAGAAGAAGTCATGGCCAGGTGCGCTCCAGCTCTGGAATTTGGGGTGTTTCCAGTGATTCAGCTCCAGGCAGAAGCTGGCTGCTGACGTGGGGTTTCAGATGGATGTGGAGGGCAGCCCGTGCTCTGCGTTTAATGCAGAATATGAGAAAGGAGAAATAATTGGAATATCTGCCCTGTGAGGTCCCACAGAGAGCCAGAAGAGACATATTTGGATCAGAAGGACACCTTCTCCCACCATCAGGTCCCTCTAATGCTCCCCAGGACTGGTGCTGGCTACAACCATCCTGTTGTGTCGCGGCTGCTAAAGGAGACAACATCAGCAGGGCCTGGAGCTGGGTTGGCACACACCCAGAGGCCTTCAGATATAAACCCTGGTGACTGCCCGGTGGCTCACCTGAGGTTCCCTTTGTTGGTGGCGTATTTGATGTGGTTGCAGATATAGTTGAACATCCCATGGGCTGTGGTGCAGTCCCGGGCATCAAACACCTGAAACAGTGGAAGCAACTGTGGTGATGCTACAGGATGCTCCAATTCCTAAGGCAAAGCTGAGCAGAAGAAACACAGCACAGGGAAAGCCCTAGAGGCCTCCATGGCTTGTTAGGTGTCTAAAGCTCCACAACTATGTGTCCTCTGCCTTTACAAGACATGGATGTCTAATCCAGCTGCCCCTTCTGCTTTGGAGAGGTGAGTCGTCTGCTGCTCAGGCAGAAACCTCCTCAATCCAGTGCTCCCCACCTGCTGCTGTTCCTGGTTTATCCACCAGCAGTTTTGGTTTCTGCTCTTTGTCTCTTGTAGATCAAGACTCAAAGCTGAAATAGTGCAGGTGTCGGTCAGGTCTGAGGGACACTGAGAGGGTGGGGAATCATAGAACAGTTTGGGTTGGAAGAGACCTTTAAAGGTCATCTAGTCCAACCCTCCTGCCATGAGAAGGGACATCTTCAACTAGATCAGGTTGCTCAGAGCCCTGTCCAACCTGAACTTCAATGTTTCCCAGGGATGGAGCATCTACAAAAGAATGGGGAAACCAGGAAAGAGGGTCAACAGGAGGCTTGAAGACAACTTCTGGCAGAAACAGCTTCCCCCAAGGTTCAGCTATGCCAAAAGAAACAGTGGAAAAGAAGAGCTGGCTAAGCTGGGCATGATGGAGGCCCAGCTTCCTGGCCCCAGGCAGTGTCCATACCCTGGGCAAAGCAGCCACAAGAATTGCTCAGCAGCACTTGAGCTGTGCTGCAGGTCACAGAGGGAGACATCGTCTCTGTACCAAGGGATTCCACTAGAGATCCCTAATTCAGATCCTACTCTACGCTTCCCACTAGTCAACAGGGCACTGAGCCAAATCTCCTCCTGCCATAGCGTCTCTGTACCGAGGATGAGTGTGTTCTGCTGCCTCTCTCCAGGCAGAGTTTTGGAAGCAGCATGTGAGATATCGGAGCAGTATCTCATTTTGGAAAAATCTGCTCTAGATGCCAGCTTCCAGTTGGCCCCATTTCAGACACCTCAGCTACACCTACCCCACGGATGCTTTCCCAGCTCCTGTTGACTTCCCAGCCTGTGCATCCCCAAAGCTGTCGAGGAGAGCGCAGCTGCTGTGTGGTCATCACCCCCAACCGTACCTGTGCGTCCCCGGGTATTTGAAGAGCAGGATTTGCCTCTCCAGAACTCCTGTGCATCCTTTGGCAGACAACTTGCCAGCTATCTCCAGCTGTGCTGGTGCTCACCTGCAGCTTGGACCACTGAATCCTGCCCACGCAGCGGGCTGCGTTTCTCCAGGCGTGCTTGGCTCCGTAGATCAACTCTGTGTCCCGCAGCTGGTAGGTATCAGTGGCTTCAATCTCCTTGGTCACTTCCTCCAGCCTTTCCATGTGGGCCTTGGAGCCAGATCTGCACGTGTGGGGAAGGGAGGAGATGGCAGTCACCAACCTGGGCGGAGCGCAGGGAATCCTGCTGCTCTCCACCTGGGCACGAGTTCTTTCTTTCTTTAGCACACGTGTGCACACACACACGCACACGTGTGTGCTTTCAGGTAACAGATGACCAAGTGCAAATGGGAGAGGTCAGCGATTTGCACAGAGGCACGCAACAAATGCTAGGGATGGAACTCCCCTGTGGAAGCAGCTGAACGTGGAGCACCGCAGTCTCACCCTGCTTTGACTCGCAAGTGCGGAAGACCAGATCATCATATGTGACATCTCAGCATAAGCAGAGGCCAGGGCCTGCGACCTTCTCCAGCCAATAATATTACCTCTTTATGGAGGAGTAGTACTGGTCAATGAAGTCCTTAGCCAAGAGGAGCACCTCCTCTTTTGTCCTGGTATCTTCTGACTTGCGGACGTGCTGGCTCGGGGTCATTACTGAGCCCATGCAGATCTGCTCGGTGCACGCGGTGGCCTGATGAGACGGAAAGAGACACGTGTGCCTTGGGTTACTGCAGCACTTTTGGTTACATGAGCTGAGCTTGGCTGGGGGAAGTCAACGATAAGCTACGCAGAATTTGGTGGCATCTGTGACAAACAGGAACATTTCCAGCTTATTTGCTGTCACGCCTATCAGAAACGTTGTGTGAGACAGCTCAAGCATGTGCACCTGATACAGACAATTGGGGGTCACTAGAATCGTGCTCCAGCTTGGCATAAAGTCATATGCTTTTCCTTATTTCTCCCAGATGGACTTCCCTCTCACCCAGCTTTCTGCACCAGAGGTTTGAAATTCCGACACGACCAGAGACAAGAAGATTGGCCTGAATTCATCCCATTCTGCATTTCCAGGTAAAGCCATCTCAGAAACACCGTAATCCGCTCAATTATGCTCAGACAACTTCTGGTGAGTCCTATCAACTCTACTCACCATTGCAGTCTTGAGGTGCAAAGTGTCATGAAGCACGGAGCCTGTCTCCCAGTTCTTGATTTTGACAAACCGCGGGCATTTGGAAGGACTTCCATTCACTGTGTTCTTGGTTGGGGACTGCCGCCCGGATGGTGGTGGCTGGACAACAGTGAAGACCAGGCACAAGGTTAGTATTCATCAACGAGATACAGGGAAAAGACCATGACAACAAGCAGCATCTTGCATTAGTGGATGCCTGTGCTTAAATCCTAGGGATAAAATAGCAAGACAAGGTATGTGATCCAAATATTGGCAGCATTTGGGATCCTACAATGGAGCAACCAACTCTCAATGGAATGGAGAAGTCCTGTAGAAAAGTTAAAAAGCAGAAAAGTGACTTAGGAGAACGTTATGTTCAAGTTTCCCAGTGGAAGACTTACCTCTCTAAAAGATATTAGATGTTTCTTTTTAAGGAGCATCACCTGCTCAGGTTTTACACATGCCAAGCTCTGGCTCGCTGACACGAGCACTGTGAGATAGAGCTAACAGCCGATCGTTCCTCCGGGCAAGTCGAAGGCACATCTCCTTTGATATCAGTGCTGGAAGATCGTAGGAATAAGGATGGATGAATTAAGCAAGAGGGAGCGCTGCTGCATTATGCATAGTTGGATTAGTTCAGTCCCAGCTCTGAACCTCCAGCCCTCCCTGATGCTCTGCGTCAGGGCGTGCTCATCCGGCACGTCTGGAGCTACGCGCCGAGACGAGGACGCCAGCAGAGAGATGTCATGAGAAGAGTTGGCTGCAAGTGCTTGTATTTGCACATGTTTTCACAGATAATATCTAGTGTTTCCACCGTGACCTTTATTCTCCCCGAGCACTTAAAAACTTAAAGAGCAATCAGTGTCTGCCAGCGCACCACGGGACAGCGAGATCCATGGTGGCCCTGGAAAGCAGAGACGTGTCTTCTAGGAATCAGATCTTACAGGAGGGTGAAATTCAGCCACTGCAACCTCAACGGCTGCTGAAGATTTCAAGGGGAGACCTGATCCCACCAGTGTGTCCCATCAAAACCTGATTATATTTGATACCACTTAAAGGCTTGTGTCTCTGCAAAGTAGATCTGGGCTTGGACCTGGTTTTGATGTAGCCTTCTTACGTGAACCCTGTAGCTTATGTCCCTTTCTAATCCATCCACAAGGTCTTTTAAAGATGCCACTGCCTTCAGCAGAGCTCTGCAGAACCTCACCCTCCTTTCCTCACCCTCCTTTTTGGTGGTTCTGGGCTCCTGTCACGGTTGCAGCTCATGGACTAGCAGCAATAGCACAAATCCAACACCATGGCCTGAAGGACCAGCTGAAGAAGAGCCAGCATGCAGTGGTAGAAGCTCTTGCCTAAAAAAAAACCTCTTTTGCTGATGAGCAAACTCAGGAGGGAAAGCAACAGGGGCCACGAGGATGACAAAAGCAGCTGAGGCTCCAGCTCCAACTCATCCTTACTTCGTCAGAGGATCACTCTGCTTTTCTGAAGCAGAGAGATACTGACGCCTGGTCAATCACGAGACTGATGCGCGGGCTAAGCAGACACTGCTGCATTGCCCCGGTGGCAAGGTTGGCCATATTTTTTACCCTGTCTTTGTTTTTACCATATGCTCCACACTTTCTTTTTTTTTCTTGGAAAATAGGGGTTTTGCTGTCGAGCACCTTGAGGCTCCCAGTGTAATGCCCTGCACTGAAAGCATGTGCTGGGAGCAAGAGACAGAGGATGGAAGGGGATGGAGTAGGACCTTCTTTGGTCCTCGCGGTTCTCTGCTGGTGCTCAGGCTGCTGTCACGGGTCCCTGTGACACTCCTTGTGTCACCAATCCTGTGATCCTCCCAAGGAGTATTTTGAAGCCAAGTGACCACGCAGTGGGTCTCAGCTCCCCCTTTCCATGCTGCAGAAAACAAATATAAGACTTCCTATAGAGCTCAAAACCAGTAGGAAACAAAGAGAACCTGCTAAATGTACTGCTGGAAATGCCCTATT